CCTACAGACGCCTTCTCAGCCTCCAGCGACGCAGACTTTTGATTTGGCAGAATCTTTTTTAGGGGGCGGGGAAGCCACAAGACCAAAGACAAACCGGTACCGTGGGGCCAGTGCCCTGGCTACTGCTTCATCAGCATGGCTGCTTACTGTACTCGGTGATATTAAAGAGAACTGTTAGGTTAAAACCACGCTTTTTTCCTACAGCATGACAATTCTCAGCCTCCAGCGACGCAGACTTTTGATTTGGCAGAATCTTTTTTAGGGGGCGGGGAAGCCACAAGACCAAAGACAAACCGGTACCGTGGGGCCAGTGCCCTGGCTACTGCTTCATCAGCATGGCTGCTTACTGTACTCGGTGATATTAAAGAGAACTGTTAGGTTAAAACCACGCTTTTTTCCTACAGCATGACAATACGCAGTGTTTGTATGGAGCACTTTAAAGTATCCTGAGAGGATATCTTTCTGCCATATTAGTAAGAGCATCTTCAGTCTTCACATAACCATTCTCTATACGTTTGTATGAGACTAACATAGGCAGATCAAAGGACCCAGTCTGCAAAAATGAGAAGGAAAACACACATGAATTGCAATTGTTACATTCCCAAGTTTATAGACCTTTTTCTATTATTTTTAGGAATACTTGAAATTTCACAGGAGAAGAAGAATGATTAGACCTAGACTGTGATAAAAGTGCCAAATCTCCGTCACAACCGAGGAACAAATGGTAAATTTGTTCCAAAAAAAAGATGGTAAATTAATTTGCGGGATGGGCAGAATGCTGTATGAGGTCTACCAAGTGGCATCTGCCTCGCTGGTCCTTGCAGCTCCCACTCTGCCCTAGTCCAGCTGCCTCCCGCACCAGTCTGCACCAGTATAAGGGAGCAGAGAGCACCACCTAATGTCTGCGGGGAAGGAACGGCTGCTCGGCAGTGTCCGGGCAAGCAGACACCTGGATTTACGCCAGATATATTTGGATCTCTGGAAAGGCTGGCTGTTGGACCTGCCATTCCGATTAAACTGCTTTCTTTACAAGCAGGTGTGGGTACCAAGGCAGGGGAGATGTGCAGAGAATTTGCAGTTTTACGTGTGCAGTGGACACCAATCAGCTAGTTAACAGCTCACCCAAAGTGACATTGTGAACTCAATTAGGCACTTTTACTTTTTTATTCTGTTATCAGCTTACTACGATGTTTAAAATGAAGAGAACTTGTACTAGGATGCTCTCTGTGTGTGTATACACATACAGACACAGAGACATGCCTGCCGTACTGTATGCTGACATACACAGAAGAGTACACATGTTTAGTTTTAATCTATGCAGATGAATTAAAATGTTCTTATTTCTAACAGAACAGCATGCACCCTAGAAAAAGGGATTTTGGTACAATTCAGATGCAACACTGGAATCATTTTAATAGCTGAGATTTGAATACCTCATACTCTCCTCCCAAACAACAATAGGACAAGAGGAAATGGCCTCAGGTTGTGCCAGATTGGATATTAGGGAAAATTTCTTCATGGAAAGGGCTGTCAGGCATTGGAATGGGCTGCCCAGGGGGGTGGTGGAGTCACCATCCCTGGAGGGATTTAAGAGATGTGTGGATGTGGTGCTTAGGCACATGGTTTCGTGGTGGATTTGGTAGTGTCAGGTTAATGGTTGGACCTTAAAGGTCTTTTCCAACCTAAAAGATTCTATGATTTTAAATAAATCAGCGTTAGCTGTTATATTCACTGTCAGCACAATTCTCTGACCGTATTCTCAGCCTAAACTGTCTGTTAATATTAGACTAAAATATCAGTTGTATTGAAAGATTTGTTGACATACTGCGAAATATTTCAGTTTGAGAGGATCTGCACACAAATGGGATTCGCCCCCAAATTAAAATGCATCCCAAGCATTGCATCTCCATTCCACAGGGACAGGTTCCCCACACCGATAGTCAAGAGGATTACAAGAACCGTAGTTTGACTGATTGGGGGGTTACATTTGGTTAATCGATGCCTTTTAAAACCATCCCAACTCCTTTGGACAGGGTACCTGTTACAACACATTAGACTCATCTGAGAATGTTCTTAAAAGAAGTGGTCTGACAGAAGGTCTGGCCGACAATGAATCAGGTACCTTCGTGCTGCTCTGCAACAGCGAGGCAAAAAGACTTATAGCACACGCGACACTTGCCCCTGCCTGATGGTCAAACAACGTAAGACACACACATACCTTTTTACATCCAAGTCACATCACAAGGGATGTAGCAATACACACTCCCTCAATACCCTGGCAATTAATACTGGCTGATTTTGCAGTGCAAGAGGCTTGGAGGGTATTGAGAAACTAGCCCTGCTCCCCGAAAAGTTTAACTTCAGGCTTAGTGGTTTATGCTAGAGGTGCTCTTGCGGGAGGAGGAAACAGTCCTCAATCTCCACATAACCGGTATTTTTAAAACAGCGAGTCATGCTGGAGATCTGCAGCGAAACCGAACGCTAGGGACACGTATTCAAGGCCCTTTGCTGTGGGGTAGCCCCGCCATGCCCACGGTCAGCAAGTCCGAGACCCTCCCGCGTTGTGCGGGTTAAGCGCAGTGGCCGAGTCACTCGTACAAAGAACAACGGTACACGAACAGGTGGGATGGACTGAGCAAGATGGGCACTTGGGGAGCTCCTCCTAGATCAAACGAGCGTGAGCTGTTTGCCAAGTCATCCGGAGGATGATCAAAACTGAATCCACTTTGTCCCACGCTTCAGAAAAGTTTGTGTCTAGACCCCTAACAGAACTACAGCAGGGAAGGGGAGTGTGGCCAGCACTGGCCATGTCCACCTCACTCGGATATCCCGACCAGCTCGCCCACCTGAGGTACAGCAGGAGACCAAAGGGGGTGAGACAGATGAAATATTTAAGCAAAAGTTTTAAATAAAAGCAAAAGGTAGGGGGAAAGCAAGGTTTTGCTGGGTGAGCAAATCTAAACGTGGGTTTTCAGGAGTTAGGCATAAGCAGGAGGAAAAAAGCAGTAGAGCAAGCAACACATAGTGACTCAGAAAGGAAATCACCTTATTCACTCCAAGAAAAGCTGTGATTGCTGGAAGTTTGAGAAAGCATGAAGATAGTGGATGTTCCTGAGGAAGGAAGGCGCTTCGTTACCTAGTTCACAACAGCACAAAAGACAGAAAATTGCAGTACAAGAAAGAGAAAGGCAGAAACCAAGGAAAACACGAATGCGCCTTGCAGTTAAAAAAACAAACAAAACAAAACATTTGCACACAGAAAATTTAATAAAGACTGAGCAGAGCTGATGTATTGTGTTATAGGAATCTCAGGTAAAACCCAGTCCCACTGAGGTCAAGGGCAAACACCCATCAATCTGGCCTCAGTCCATCCTCCCCTTCCAGAGGGGATCCTCAGCCGCCAAGCTGGGGGTTCAGGCACCTAAATAACTGCCCTAATCTTCTTTTTCATTCAATGATCCCCTTGGGAAACTGATGTTGATTTTTTTTCCAATACTAAGATCAGGATCCTCAAAAAGGGCCTTGATTTGTAATCATCTACCTGGTCTTACATACCTTTAAAAATTAGATGACTGACTTCGGTGTCTGGCTGCTGACAGAGTCATCTAGAGCTGGTATGTGCTTCAGGCGTTTTATAAAGCTCTTACTCAAAATGTACGTTTAAATATGGCTCAGCCTGTGTCTAGTTTAGTATGCACATATAAAGAGACTTTTTTAGTTGATGCTTACTTTGCTTTGCTAAATGATTTCACAAGAGCCTTTTTTTAATGCATATAAAGTACTCTGGGAAAGCAAGTATGACATGAGGGAACGGATCTTCTGGCCATCAGCTGAAGGCAAAAGTGTTTCATTCTCAGGTGAGATCAGCTTGGTAACCCCTAGGTCACTGTCCTTGAACCATCCTATGTCCACAGCTGAGAGTGACCCTCCCCCAGCCTATTCAATAGGAGTGTCAAGCTAGAACTATTAAATTGTACTTAATGGGAAGAAATTACATGGAGCCTCAAAGAATTCAAGCGTAGTTCTTACACCATCTCTATTGCTTTCAACTCTAATGGTTTGAGGAATTTTTTGTCTTGCAGATACACGTTTTACTTCACTGATATGGTGCCAAATGTGCTTCAAATGTTATGGGGGAGGAGAATCTTTACTACTTCATTGGATTTCTTTTTTTTTTTTTTTAATTGAGATAATTTTTAAATAAGGACCACAGACAAGTAAGGAAAGTGTACTGAAACTTCACGGGATACAAAAGCTTCAAGGAGAGAAGGCTGTTTTGAACCTCAGTATTTGGAGGGTCATCCCGTGGTTCCTGGGGCACTTCAGGCCATCAGGGCACTGGCCTGCTGCTACCATGCTGCTGGTCCGGGGCACGGCTGGCAGGGCAGACACCACCTCTGCGCGCTGTTGCCACTGCACTGGCCAAATCCTACAGCCCTGCCGCTGGACCGACCGATGGCTGGCTCCGGCCATCTGCCAGGGAGCTGCGCTGGCCAAAGCCACGCTGCCCTAAGGACATGCTAAGGACCGCACCCGCCTAAGGACATGCTAACCCAATGGCTAGAGGCCAGGGCCGGCTGGCAACTGATGTTGCAGGGGGACAGAGAGGGGCTGCAGGAGGGAGGGGAGGCGCAGGCAGAGGCGGAGGCACGGCTGGGGTGAGCAGGGCTGCCCGGGGGACGGTGCTGCGGCGATGTTGGGCACCTGCGGGCAAGCAGGGAGCAAGGGGCAGGGGGAATCTTGGCACGGTGCGAGGCAGGAGCCCCAGCAGGGCTGGCACTCACCGCTGGCAGGAAAGCTGTTAAGAAGCCAGACTGCTTTCGAGGAGAGCTAGACACTGCTGGCTAACGCCACAGTACGAGCCCTCAGTTATTAAGGGGGGTGGGCAAACATGACAAGACCTGACCCTGTTCCCCCTGCGCCAGCACCTGAGGACACACCCAAGGGGAATATTGTGGGCATGTTCTTTGGCATAAAAACAAGTGGGTTGTTTTCAGGACACAATACGGTGGCTTCGATGATGAGTTCAGGGTGGAAAAGGATTACTGTACTTTTATAAGAGACAGCAGGTTTCATCCAGAGAAGGCAACTAAGGAAAGGCATGGGTTGAGTCTCTCCTCCCTACAGATCTAGGGGGTATTTTTAGATGAGCTTCTTGACATTTCTGGTATGTGAAAGAGCAAGACGAGACCTAGAAAGCCTTCCTTGAGACGTGAGTGGTACACAGTACTGTCACAGGTTCATCTGGTGCTTAAAAGAGGTCTTCCTAAAAATACCGTGCGATAGATCATCTCATTCCTTACCTGATGATTTTTCTCTTTTATATTTTTTAAAACTATTAGAAGAATTTCAGGGAAAAGGCTGATAAAGATCAGGAGAATTATTGCCAGCCACGTGGAAACAGAAGTCAGCATATGGGCAAATACAAAATACATTCTTTGCTGCTTCAAGAAAGGCCTGAAAAAGAAAGGATACAAATAAACTCTGGTTAACAAGACTCTCCCAAGAGGGTCAGAATCAAAGGCAGATTCACTTCAAACTATTAGCAGTAACATCTCCCTTCACAGCCTGCACAGAAACACACCGTCCATCCTTCCCCCAACGCATCTCCTTCCTGCAACTGCGCTAGTTCCGGAGGGCTGTCCTGCCACCTCACGTGATGTATTCGGCACCTTCCACCTCTGTTTCATCTCAGGGTGGGTAGGCATTTGAATCTTTCTACTATCACTAAAAGAAATTATTCACCTTATCAAAAAACAGAGCATTCTATTTCAACTTTGGACTTTGCTATAGCTTCTGGTTTGCTTTTGATGGTGGAAATCCAGAGGCTTGATCCCAATACATTATTTTCCTCTTCCTCCCTCCCTTAGTGATGGAGGGGAAGTGACAGCTCCTTGTGAAAAATCCCTCATAAATAACTGATGACAAGGATCCCAAAGCAGTTGTTAACTCAAAAATACTGAGCTATGCAAGGTAAACACTCCAGGAGAAAACTCACACATTTCAGAGATCCCTAAGAAAGCACGCGGGGAAGAAGAAAAGATACTTGCCAAATGACTCCTCCCCAAAAGAACGAGAAAAACACATAGAAGGCAAGGGAGCCCCAAATCACAAAGTGGTTCATCCACGTCCAGAATCGGGTATCTAATGCTAGCTGTGTGAATAAAAAAGCACAGAGACAGAACAGGCATCAGATGCAGAGTGTGTGTGATTGTACCTGTAGGAAATCTTGGACTGCTTTCACATGAAGGTTGAAATTCTCCAAACAGCTACCTCTCTCTCTATGTGTGCACCCGGGAAAATACCCACAGTATCTACAGATTGGCACAATGTCAACAGGGAAACAGCACATTTCTAATTGTAACTGACACTTTTAATAGAGTAAGTTTGATGCAACCTCTGATACTACAGGAAAGAAATGTCTGAAGGTTACAGGGACTGTTACTGCCTCCTGCCACCACCTGCTGTCCTGAACCAAACATAAAAGACCTTTTGTAAGGTCTCACGCAACGGGTTCGCTCTGGAAAGGTCCCCAAAACAAAGCAGGTTTGCTGTTGTCATCTGACAGATGTGCTTTTTTGATCCCTCCGGTGCTGAGGGGTGTGTGAAACAAGGTGCCCAAACGCAAAGTTCCCTATTGTTCCCCTCCTCTTGCTGGAACTGAATGCCAAAGGGCAAAAGTGTGGGAAAAAGTCAACCACAACCAACCAGAGACCTCAGAAGATGGCACAAAATAGGAAAATAATTTAACCAAAACATATAAACTTATAGACCAGCCCAGGAATACAGACCACAGACTACTCCAAGGACATAAAGCAGTCAATAAGCAAGTTCTGGGTCTGTGGAAGAGGAGATTTAAGTGTAGCGGGAACCACATTCACAGAAAACTCCCCCTTCAACACATCTACTCCACGATTTTACAGCGCATACAAAACGCACTGGAAAATGACTGCAATGATAAATGACTGAAAAAGGAAGGAAGAGCCTAACCAACCTTCAGAGTAACGGTGAACACCAGCACGGTGAAAACAATCGTCCCAAAGGTCCAGTTCCCAAAAACCTGAAAAACACGTCACATTGCCACAGGTGTGTCTGCCCTCGGAGAGGCACAGGGACGACATGAGGACAGGGGTGCAAGCAGGGACCGGAGGGGAAGGACGGGATGGAGCGACTGCTACGGGGGATTGATGCTCGGGGAGGCGCCGGGCGCCGGCTGCCCGCTAAGCTACCCTGTGCCATGCAGTGCCACACAGACGGGTGACCCAGAGTTGGGACCACGACAGGTACAAACTCCTACTAACAGCAATGTCGATCGAGGATACAAGTCATCGGACCACCTGCATTTCATGATTTCTCGGTAATTTACTCAGTTTCTGCTTTCTCGCAACACCTCTGCTCAGGGTCTCGCTTCAGTCCCATTTGCAGAACGCACTGATGGGGATTTTTCCATCTGGTTTGGTTTGCGGATACTAGCGACTACGCATGACAAAGAAAAGCAGAGACTGTATATAAATCCAAATGATGGCAATGAATGGGAGGGATGCTTACCAAAGGCTGTCAAGATCTGAATGCATACATCAAAACAGAAAGTGAAATGTAAAAGTTTTCAAAAAATGCAAAAAAATTAAAGTCAATAGGAGCGAGAAAGGAGTCAATCAAACATACATGGATATTATGAACAATTGCTGGTAGCAGTTCTTACAGGCATAAGTGTTTACGAAACAGGACATAACCACAGACCTTATTAGTGCTACATAGACTTGACCCCTCAAGGCATTTGCAGAATATATCGGTGCTTCATGTTTTGTTCAAATATAACCAGAACAGCCATAAATACCAAAAGGCACTGAATCTACAATATAGGGGCATTACTACTTACAGCTGGGACCATAAATGCTGGCCTTAATGCAACATATGCACATACATACATAAATTTCATCAGCTTTTCTCCAAGTGTTAGCCACTGAAAAAAGCTAAAGGTATTTTTAAGGGTCACAAGGGATGGTGTAAAGACATTTTCCATCGGTCAAGACCTGATAACACACTGAGTACCCCCTAGGGGGAAGGTCCTGAGACACCCCAGGCCACCACATGCGGCAGCCACACTGATGCTTTGCTCTGTACTCAGTCAGTTAAGCATAAAAACCAAAATCTCTCCCCTTTCTGTGCAAGTTAACCCTGAGCAGCTCCCACACCTCGCTCACGTGGCAATGCAAGTGCTTGTCCTGACATGAGAGGCACGAGCACAGCGGGGAGAACAGCCCGCTCGCTCTGACAGCGGTGCTAACTTATGCTGGCTTCCAAATGGTACCCAAACCCTAGCACGAGCCTTCCCCATCCCAAAGGGAGGTGGGCAGCTGAGATCCCACCCCGCTGCAGGCGCAGCGCACAAGCAGCCCTGCACCACGTCTGCGCCGACACGCAGCATCAAGGTGGAATAATTCAGTCGCTCGTCACCAGCCCAACGCATGCCGAGTGCCACACGGCACGCTGGTGGGACAGACAGATGGACACTGCTCCGGCCCTGGGCCAGCGCCTCGGACCACGCAGAAGAGTGGAAGAGCACTGTGCAAAGCTCGCCGGGTGGGAATAAAGCTGTGTGTAAGACTAGTTATGCTACCTCGTGAGTATAACCAGCTCTGCCCTGTTTCCATGGCAATTTGGGAAACGCTTCATTTCAAGCATTTGCTGCACAATCACACCATAAGCAAAGCTACACTGTCGGACAAGACTCGAGACACACCGCACAGATTAAGCGTGTAGCTATTCCCTGCCAGGCGTATAAAAGTGCCAGCGCACAAAAGAAACGCTCATCTTTTCCTTTTTCTGGTCGCTTTACCTTTCCGTTATCTTCCAGCGATGAATTTTGAAAGAGAAAATAAACCCCAAAGAAAAAGACGAGTCCTTCAAAGGCGCCCAGAAAGGTCCAGTACAGGAACGGCCTCCACTGCAGCATTGCGTTATCTGAAACCTTCCTGCCGAGAGATGCAGTAACAAGAACATCACCGTCGCGTTTAGGGTGTGCTGCCAAGCCCCTGCAGCCAGCTGATCTGCAGGCTTTGGAGCAAGCCCTTGCTGTAGGAATCAAGGAGGTAAAACTCAAGTATCGTCCCGCGTACAGGAGATAAACCACATTCGCCACACGCAGCTGCTGGTCGTGACAAATCACATTTGTTGAATGTACAAACTCCCTTCTTTGAGAAAAGCTCTGCAAGTCCTATTCCTGTCAGGGGTGGCTTTCTGCATAGGCTGAAAATGACCTCCTGAATCGTATGGTGGGTGTTTTTAACGCTGGGGTTGTAGCGGGAGGGCTCTTGGCCGAATCCAGGATGCGACTGGGCACGGAGGCAGCAGCAGCAAACAGGTGTGCTACGGGCAGAGCCCTGCAGGGACCGCACGCAATGCCCAGGGAGTGCCCTGCGGCCAGCAGGGCAGGAGGGAGTTAGAAAAACTTTCCTGCATCATTATCTTTTCAGATTACTTTCTTTAAAATTGGAAGATTGATGGGGACTAAAAGCACATTTACAGTAAACCCCAAAGTAAACCCCAAAATCCAAGGGGTATTCTCATTTTTCTTCTAACAACTAAAGCAACAGATCTGTTGTCAGCAAGATGCACCTTGCAAACCAGCGTGGTGCTGGGCTCCTGTAACTGCAGTCTCCAAAACAAAACCCTGCTGAATCCTATGCGTGATGATGCAGTGACAATGCTCTGACATGCTGCGACTTGGTATGAGTAGGGAGCACGGATAATCCAGGCTGCGAGTGGGTTTTATTGCAAGGACAGAAAATACAACCACCTTCCTCCCTGCGAGCTCTGTTTTGCATGACATTTACGTCCTGCAGCACTTGCTGTAAACAGCCTTTTTACGGCGCCTCGGAGTAGAGATCTGCACTGCAGCAACCCGGCACTTCATACAGCAGAGGCGCAGCAGTCGCTCTGCATTCAGCAGCACATGCACAGCCAGGAATATTCAAACCAAAGCTATCTGCCTGCACAATTCATCTGCTTTCCCTCAACTGACAGACCCCAGAGGTTGCACAGCCCACAGGGCACATGCACGGGGACCTGCTGTTGTTGGTCTATGCTGCACAATATTCAATTACCAATTGATTTAAAAAACACATGCGGTGTGTTTTGCCGTATGAGCACAGGAACACAGATCTTTGCTGATTTTTCTACACCTAAACCAACTTTCACGCAACGTCTTTAGGTACCTGTTAATTCCTCTGCTGTCCCTGCAAAGGCACTGCTCTTGGCTCGAGTACAGCTTTGCCGCACACAGCTCCTCCACAGCTGAGGAGCATCACACAGCAGTGGCGGGGCTTGCACAGGGCATTGACCAGAGCTGCCCTGACCTGGTCTCTCGCCACAGGGCTGAGCTCAGCTCTGAGCTTATTGCCAGGAATTGGCAACCGCAATACGTGAACAGGGACTTCCCCAAAAAAGCATCTTCCTTAGTCCTGGCTGAAGGGGTGCACCCAAGAACGTCTGTGTGGGATGGGGTGGGAAGAAGATGGGAAGCATCTTGGTTTCCATGGAAGCCTCTCCTCATTGCAACCAAGGAAGGAGAGAAAGCAACCAGCAAAGCAGAGAGAGGCACTCTCCTCTTAAACTGTCCTTTCTCTGGGCAAGGTGGCAGAAAACTCTGAGCACATGGATCAAAGGGCAGAGTTCCCCAGCAATGGGCTCTGATAGAAGGATTTGGCCTGTGGAGGGGAAGCCTGAGGCAGGATAGCCACTTAGACAAGGTGAGAAACTACCTGCCTGAGCTGGGCTTCAGAAACATTCATCTTTCTGAAAACGAATGGATCTTTTTTCCTCTTGAAAACTAGATCTCCCCTCCATCCATTACACACTCCATCATGTGCTTGTCACAGGCTGCCTGGCCCAAAGCTAATGTGAACAAATGATGTGGCCACACTCACAGCTAGATTTTTCTTACAGATGAAGAATTCCACCTACAGTTTATTTTTTTTGTAGAGACAGAGCAGTGCAGTTTGCTAGACGAGATACTGTTTGAGAGCATAAATAAGTAGAAATGGGCAGTAAAAAGGATGTTGCTCAGCTCTAACGCAGCAGTGGCAGAGCCAGCAGATCCTTCTCTGCAGTCCACGGCAACCCCACCACCACCAAGGGACAGGGACATGTGCTTACACTCCTCCACAAACAAAACTTAAGCCATGGATAAGCCAGTTGAGGAGAGGCTTACCCAGCCCAGCCCCACTTACATGTACAGCTGTGGATCTGAGGTCAGCCTGTCGATGTTGATATGCTGCTCCAGGAGGCTGTACGCCAGGATAGGTAGTGATGTGAAGCAGATGTTGTACATGGTAAGATAAGCAGCATCGTACAGCGGCTTAGAAGAGGAAGAAGGGGTAAAATGAGACAGAAATTCCACTTTAAAAGTCTCCCCACAGAAGAGATTAAAATTTTCCAGCCCTTGCCTCCATATATACCCTATAGATTCATCCCTTTGTCACACCACACAGGACAGATTCATTTGACAGGGGCCATGCTCCATGCAATGCCAGAGGGGACAAGGCACCTGCAGGCTGCATGGTTGGGACCTCACTCCCACCTCTGGGAAGTTTTGTAACTGGCTGGTCTCATCTTCAGCTCATCCTCCAGAAAGATGTGATTAAACAGCCCTAATCTCAGTTTGTCTGTGGCTGCTCTCGTGCTGCCATTTCTATTAACATGCTTGATGTCTCCTGTGGCTCTCTAGACTCTTTCAGAAGAACCATGGCTGCTTCCTTTTTTTGGGTTTTTTTTTGGGGTTTTTTTTTTTTTAAATAAAAAAAGCTTTTTTTTAAAAAAAAAAAAAGGGGAAGGCCAGTCCAAGACAAGCAGAGAATTCTCTCCTATCATTTACTCTTCCTTACCACTATTTTTGAGCCCAAACAGAAAAAAAAGCCAAAGCTATTGTCTCCAAGCACACGAGACCACCCACCACACAGATCTGTCCTTCCGACACTCGCCTGGACTAAGCAGGTCCCTAATGACACTCATCATGTGTCTTTTTTTAAAGGCTGCCACAAAAGAACAAACTGTTCTTCCTTTTGAGAGACACCTTTAATGCAGGGAAATGCAGCAGAGGAGAAAAGATCAGGAAGTCTTTGAAAACCTTTTCTAGTAAGAGAAGTAGCAAACTCAGGTGCTGACAAACCAGTTAAACCCCTCTCTCGTTATTTTAGAAAGGTGTCATCTGCGTTTATGGGTGGTGGAAAAAGAAAGCAAGCAGATTGCTTTTTCTGTTATGGATCTCAAAAATATTATGCCCCAGATACAGTGCTGAGCAATGAGGTCAGTTCCTAATGTCCTCTAAAGTAAGTTGAGGAAGGGACAGGACACCAAAAGTAAAGCCTCAGTGTGCCTCTTGCTTTTTATCCTGGCTTTATAGACACATTACTGAAGTTACCTGCTGTGAGAATCCACAGAAGAACTGGTACAAAAACTGCGGTAAAATGAAGCAAAGGTTCTGAGGAAACAAAAGACAAACGGTTACCAGGGAAGTGCTTGACTTCTCAATCTAAATCCAAATACTTTCTCTTGTTATCAGACATTAGTGTCTGATATTACAATATCAGACAAGTTAGGGCACTGTTTTCTATCAAGCACAAAACTAATCCAATGAGCAGTATCTGTGAAAGCCAGTGGAAGAAAAAGTCATGCTCACATTCCCCTGTAAAGCAGTGCTTCCAACTGACCGGGACATGGCAGAGACACAGCCTGTTCTAGGGCAGGAAAACAGCCACAGAATAACCTATACATGGTTTTCTCCTGTTTACTACTTTTTTCTGTCGTCAAAGAAGCCCACAGTATAAACAAAGAAATGAGCTGCACACGCATCCTTACCTTATAGAAGAAATACTGTACAAGGTGTGCTATTCTCACGTAATATAAATGCCCGTGTGCTAGTAGCAATTTTCTTAAATGTTTAAACTTTGGCACAGCATAGTCGCTGTTTCTGGAAGCCTGCCGTCCTTCTTTGCCTTTTATACCTGCAGACAGAAGCGTGGCAAGGGGTTAATCCCTACAGGACTGCCATTTGGACCGATGCTACCCACTAAGCTTGTTCACATCACTCAGTGTCTCAAGGCCAGTATCTCAAGGCATGACAAAGCCGTATTTCCGAGCGCCCCAGGAGAGCAGAACACTAACGTGCTGCGAGATTCTGTGTGGCTTTGGTTCCACAACACTCAGACCTGCCTCTGGAGCTTTTAAGCTATATTTAGGTTGCTGTCTGAGTTCCCGTGTAAGACAGTGTGGTGAAGGGTATCTAAGCAAACCTGATAAAAGATAAGGAATTGGTTTCCCCACGGGCTTGCCCGCATCTAACACAGCTTAGTTATTTCATTGCATATGCTCAGCCTCCCGAGACATCCCCGCAGAGCAGAGCTCAAGAAAGACAGTTTTGTTCACAACAAAGCCACATCCAAATGAACTGCACCGGGAACCCGTTCGTTAGAGGGCACCGCGGCATTTCCAACAGCCCCAAATAAAGAGGCTGCTCTTTCTCTTCCATCAACCCTTCTTCAGTGGTATTAAAAAACCCTCCAGTGTTCCACATATCTCTGACACCAATCTGCAGAAAGGATAGCTTCCACCCTGATGTCAGCCGTACAGACAGGGCAGACAACATAACTGAGCATCAGCCCTCGGGAAACACAAGCAGGTCCCCAGTGTTGAGTTACCAGCAGCTCTGAGCAGAGAGCTCTAATAAAGTCTGCTGTTGCCATTGCACTGCCTTTTCAACAACTGCCAGGAATCACCCATCAGTTTGCGACTTGTGCCTTTGTTTATCTGACCACCTTTACCGCCTTCAATTTGGTCACAGAGTTTTTGAGCACGACCTGCAGTTTATCACCCATAAAGAGAGCGGTACTATCAAAGGTGAGCAGCGTATGACCATCCCAAGCATTTATCTGGAGTCAAACCCTGGCTCCAAAGAAAGCAACAGCAGACTTTCTGCATTTTTCAGCGAGTTCGGTTTAGCCACGTGCGATCAGAAATACCGACTGTGCCTGAAGAGCGAACGCCAGCAACAGCGGACAGGTCTTAGGTGTTACCAGGGCCCTTACCTATTCCAACGTGTGCTTCCAAAATCATACTGACATCATTTGCACCGTCCCCTATGGAGAGAGTTATCGGGCTCCCTTTCGTGTTCTTCACCATTCGCACAATCTAAAGGATTTTAAAAAATGATAGCAACAGAAACCAAAAATTCTGTTCAAAAGCCTACAGAGACCCCCCACCACCCCACTCACAAGACCCCCCAGGGCAACCAACCAGGCTTCTACAGCAGGAAAACAGCACCTGGAGCGTTCAGGTGAATAAACCCCTTGCTGCCTCCCTCGCAGTCACCAACCGGGGGAAAAGCCGAGACCCAGCTGCAGAGGGCTGAAGGACAGTACTTAAAAACACCCCCCCGGCAGCACCATCCCGTCCTTGCCTTCTGCCAGACCCGGCTCTCACAAGGATGGGACTGCTCAGGCGTTTCATGGGGCAGGAAATCCTCCCAGAACACCCACCCCCAGGGCAGAAATGCTGCCAGCAGGGTCCAATCCCACCAGCGAGCGTGAGGAAGTCACGGACTCCACTTGACAACGGAAAAGAAAAAAGAACAAAGGGGGGGTTGTTTATTTATAATTGGCATGGGTTTGTGGCTTCCTGCGAGCGTATTAAATAAAGTGTTTACATTCAGATTTGAAAGACCAGTGTGTTTCCATCACACTCTGAAGCACAGACGAGGCTTGCACAAGGCCAGGAGAAGCTGTAGCTGATTAAGCTGATCAGGTCCCAGCCAACGGATCAGAGCGCATCGCATCCCCTAACGACGCGCGTTAGTCCTAAGTACGTACCTGTGCTTTCTGCAAAGGAGCCATCCGGCAGCAGAGGACTGCAGTACACTTCAAGCAGATTTGTAGAAATATGTTTTTGTAATTACTAGAACTAGAGTCCTGAGAAGGGTTGAATATCAGCGACAGCGTCAAGCCGTCTATGATCAGGCCGTATTCTTGACTCAACGTCCAGCTTCTGGGACACGACAAGAAACACGTTCAAAATAAAATCAGAGGAAGAAGTCAATCCAGCCACTCATCTCATCTTAGTGGAAAAGAAATTACTTTTACATTAATCTTCTTCCCAACCTTTCTGGGGGGCTTAGAAATCTTAACAAGCTCAGATTTAACACACACCCTTCACTAAGGGGACTGTGTAATTAAGTTCAAAACCAACTAACACCAGAGATGATGAGCAAAGCGGAGGAGCCAGCTGCAGTGTGTGCCAGCAGTGAGTCCCCAGGGCCACGATCTGGTCCTGCTTCTCTATAAACTTTACATCTGCATCCCAAACGCACACAGGCTGGCTCTTCTTTGCCTCAGTCTTTAATGGGAAGGCCAGTTGCTCTCCAGTACCCAGGGCCCTGTGACGACAGACAGGGACAGGGAGCAGAACCAAGCCCCCATAATCCCAGGGGAAACGGTTAGTGACCTGCTGCACCACACAGACACACACAGGTGTATGGGGTTGGATGGGTCCACCCGAGGGTGCTGAGGGAGCGGATGGAACTGCTCACCAAGGCACTTTCAACGTCCTGGGTAACCAGGGAGGTCCAAGTTGACTGGACATTATCCAATGTGATGCCCGTCTACAAGAGGAGCGGGAAGGAGGATCTGGGGAACTACAGGTCTGTCTGTCTGACCTCGGTGATGGGGAAGGTTGTGGAGCAGACCATCTTGAGTGCCATAACGTGGCACAAACAGGACAGCCAGGTGATCAGGCCCAGTCAGCATGGGTCTGTGAAAGGCAGCTTCTGCTTGACTAACCTGATCTCATTCTGTGACAAGGTGACCTGCTCAGTGGGTGAGGGTAATGTTGCTACCCATACTTCAGTACAGTTTTTGACACTGTTTCCCACAGCATCT